TATCATATGATTTGGAGCAATGTGCGATGAGTTAGAAGGAAATTTGTTTGTGCCATTTTTTTTGAACACCACTGTATGTAGAATTCACTGAGGTGACTTGTTGGAGGTTCCAGACGAGGAGGAAAATATAGGGGTGGTATTGATGGTTCTTGCAGCAATGTTGAACATTAAGGTATATGTTCTATTTGTTTTTTTTTTTTTTGTTTTTTTTTTACTTATACTTAACCGAAGTGAAGAATCAACATCCACTGGATAATTTATTTGCTAACTTTTTTTTGAATCTATCAGATTGCTATGCAAGAAACCATAAAGATCATGCAAACAATATTAATATGCAAAGTCTGGAAGCTTACAAGTCTGCAGGTCAGGTAATGCAGCCACGAATCTTGATATAATTCCTACGTGCTTTACAACACCGAAAAAAAAGAGTGTGGAGAATCGGCCACTTCCTGCCCCACCCTACCTGCAACTACCATTAAAAAGAACTGCGTGAAAAGAAAGAGATAAGATGTTAATATACAGGCAAACTCGTTTACCGATTTTGCCTTTTCCAGTTACAGAATTTCAGTTACAGGGGGGTGAACATAATTTTATTACGACGCGTTTTTGTTTATTATTTTATATACCGATCAACAAAACAAATAGCCGATTTTGCTATTTACTACGGAGTTATTTGATTGGTCTTCCATGTATTTTGGATCGGGTGACGAGTTGTGTATTCTGCGGCGCTTTTGTATAACTTAGACCACTTGATTGTAAATAGTGATAATTCGCAAATAGATGTCTGGGAGGGAAATTGAGTACTAGAGTGATGAACTCGAATAAGTGACATAAAATTCATTATATAAACGACCTTTCTCCCAGGCGGAAAAAGTAAGTTGGCTGCTGAGGGTAAAACCAAAGCGGAACCTTCCCTGGGGTGGTTTCATCTCTTGTAATAATAAAATATTAATATCCGTTATTGATTATTGGAATGTATTATTTTGTTCTCTACCGATACTTTGATGTAAGAATTCCCTAGCGACTAATAAGACATGTTACGGAGATAATTATTTCGTTATAAAATCATGGCGATTAATAAGCAGGGCATGAGAAGTATTCGGCTATTATACTATTCTCTGAATTGACACTTTGCATATAACTTCTTCGCGATTAATAAGACAAGTAGCAGAGTATCCGTCTATCGATGCTTTGTGGTAATATCTTGGCGAATAATAAGGGAAGCGTGAGAAGTGTTCAGTTTAGAAAGATTGCGATTATAAGACTGTTGTATGTCAGATAGGAATTTATGTCAGATCGGAATCTATGTCCATTCCGAACTGACATATGTCAGATCAGAA